AAGGTTCCATAGGGACATATGAATGTTGTCTTCTCTTGAACTTCAGGGGCTATTTAAATCTGATTATATTATAAATATCCATAAAGGAAACAATAAAATTCCATTCCAAATAGCCTATCAAGCATTTGACCAATAAATGGAAGGAGAAAATAGTCTTTCCTTGTAGCCATGTTTAACTTTTTGTAATCCATGCATATTGGCCAACCCATGACTACTCTAGAAAAATTATCCAATTTTTTCCATTCTCAATCACGGTCATGCCACATTTCTTTGTGACACACCCATACACTCGCATAAAGGGGGTAAATAATACATGTATCTAGCTATATGATAACCTCTTTCTTCACTACATCCTTCATGATATGACCCAATCTTATTTGGCTCTCTATATTGTTCCTTGTATTTTCGTCTATAGTATTCTATGCATAAAAATTGTAGGGCTGATCCTCTTAATATTAGATATTTGCTAAGAAATAGCATTCTTGTCCTTTTTCAAAAGTTCTAGAAGTCGACATCTTTTCTCATCAGACAGATAAACAAAAATGATCACAAAAAACGTTTGTTCTGCCTCTAGGTAGGTATATTTCAAGTGGGAAAGGAGTTAGTTCATCTTCAATTCCAAGGGTTTCTCTATGGATGGAACGTTGTGTCCCACCAATTCAGTTGTAATTTCTAGGGTTTCAAAGTGTTCCATCATGGCCTTAATTAGGAGGTGAAATCCACTTATGATACTTTCACTTGCCAATTCATTCTTGTCTTCTTTACTCAACTCATGTTTCAACTCATCATTACATTTTTATGATCTGCTTGTGAACAAGGGAATCCCAACTAAAGATTAACGAGCAATCAGTTATGTCTTCTTTAGGGTATTTCAATGTATTTATGACATTAAACATCATGTGTTTCTTGTTTACCCTCATAGTGAGTTCTCCCTTCTCAATATCTATTAGAGTTCTTCCTGTTGCAAAACATGGTCTTCCTAAAAGAATAAGAGTTCCTTAACCAATGCTAAAATCCATGATTATAAAGCCAGTTGGAAATACAAACTTGCAACCATTACTAGCACATCTTTGATCTTTCCTTGAGGGTAATAAATGCTTCTGTCATCCAATTGAAGTGTGGTAGTTTTTGTCCTTGCAGCTCCAATGCCTAGCTTCTTAAAGATATATAAAGGCATGAGGTTGATATTTGCTCTAAGATCACATAATGCTCTTCTATAAAAGGAATCTCCTATGTTTCATGGAATAGTGAAACTTTCAGGATCTTTCAACTTGGGTGGTAACTTTCCTTGAACAAGTTGGCTTCATTCTTAGGTCTATGTACATTAGAAAATTCTATAGCTTTTTTCCTCTTTGTCAGCACATCTTTTATGAACTTAGAATAATTTGGCATTTGTTGAATAACTTCAATCAGGAGTATGTTAATGTGATGTTGCTTCAGGATCTCCATGAAATTTCCAAATTATTGTTCTTCTTTAGCCTTTCTAATCTTTTGGGGAAAAGATGGTGGTGGTTTCTCTTGCAAAGTCTGGGTGTTGTGATGACTTCTAGCGTGTCATTTGTTAATTCTACTTTTGTAATTTTCGTGCTAGAAGTCATGAGATTAGGTTTCTCATCTTACAGTCTTTCTATACTTGTCTCAACCAAAGTAATTGGTGTATGTGTTACCCATTCTTCTCCTGATGCATCAAAAGACTTCACACCCCTTATTGGTTGGTCAGTGTTTTATTGGCTTGGTTCTTCATACTCCATATGACTTCTGAATGAAACGACTTTTCATGTCTCAATGCTCTTGGTACCCAAAGTAGATGTGGTTGTTTCAATGGAACTTAGGTATGCTCTCATAGGCCTTATACTAAGTGTGAAAGTAATTTAACCAACTTGGTTTTCCAATTTTTTGATGCTTACACCTTGAGCTTGAAACTAATTCTTTGTTTCTTGTATGAAGGAATTCGAAATATTCTCCAACTGGTTGTTTCCTCGTGTAGCCACAATATAATTTAGTGTAGAAAAACCAGGGGGGATTTCTGGTGCTTGAGGATTTAGTTGATTTTAGGTGTTTCTCCATGAAAAGTTTGGATGATTACACCATCCAGGGTTGTATGGGTTGTTTTAGGGGGGTTTTGTATTTTTTGTTGCCCACATAACTCACAAAAATAGGATCATTGCAACATTATTCAAAATAGTGAGCTCCCCCATAATAGACATATGCAACAAAATTGGTATTTGTTAAAACCTTGACTGGCTCGGCAGCTGGCGCTTTAAAACCCGTCATCATGTTCTTCATCATTTAGTGTATTTGGGCCACTTGAGCATCTAATGTTGTGGTCTTAGTGACTTCATGGACACCAACTGGCATCTTTGGAACAACTATGTTGATTGCTCTAGTAACTGATCATTGATAGGTGTTGGTAGTAATACTCTATATCAATTTGTACCCTTCTTCATAGGACTTAGATAACAATGCTCCACCAGAATATGCATCCAACATATTTCTTGATGATGGTACCAACCCATTGTAAAGTGTTTCCAACTGGATACAAATTGGGATCCCATGGTGTAGACATTGCCTTAATAATTCCTTGAATCTTTCCCACACATCAAACAAAGACTCATTATCTTCTAAATGAAGTGATTTCATTTCTCATCTTTGCATTCTTGATAGGTGGAAAATACTTAGCTAAAACAATTTGAGCCAAGGCATTCCATGTGGCTATGGAATCAGGCTCTAAGAAATTTAGCCAACTTTGATCTTTATCCCTTAGAGAATATGGAAATAGACTTAATCTAAAAGAGACATCAATAGTTCCATGAACTTTGAAGTTACTAGCAACTTCTAGAAATTGCCTCAAAAATGTAAATGTGGATCTTCATTAGCAGCTCCAGAATACTGGCTAATAGCTTGTAATATTTGGAACATCATAGGCTTGAAGTCGAACTATGCTACTGTGATCTTTGGTCGTATGATTCATGTGTTCATGGCATTGGGATCGAACACATTATAATCCCTTATGTTTCTTGTTTTATCATTGGCATTACCAATACTGTCATTTTCTACCATGACTCCTTCTTGCTCCGATTGTAATTCTTCAAAGAATTCTTCAAAGTGTCATTTGAAAGCTCCAAACACAAGAGTAGGAGGAGGTCTTCATGGTAAGTGAGTGATAGCTTGAAATATCCTTAGTAATATGAGTGTTCTTTCAGGATTAAGGTCTCTTTTTTAATACCAGAGTCAGCAATTTGCTCATGCAGCATACACACATTTGTCGTGTCACCAGAAGACAGAAAATATCAAAAATTTCAAATATACTTTTCACAATAAAAATAAGAGTATGGATCCTACAAATATTGCAATAACTTAAGTTAATTTTCACAATAAAATCTTATGAATAACCATGATAAAAAAAGGTAGCAATAATAATAGATTGTCACGGGTTTATGTTCAGGTTGAGTAACAATAAATTTACTTATAAATGAAGTAGTTTGTAGAAGTGAACTTGATTTTAGTATAACGTTCTTCATTTAATTTATATTATAGTCTTTTAAACTTCTGTCAGAACTTTGATACTACTTTATTGTGATTGAGAAATGTAATATGAGAGTAAAATAAAGAGAAATGATATGCTTACACCACATATTACAACTTATACCGTATTTTGATATGATTTTGTTTTTTTTATTATATTTAATAATTATTTCTTACTTTTATAATAGAAATAAACACATGTCATAGCTATATTTTAGAGGGGTGTAACTATACGGTGTATTCTTGGATTTTGAAGCTTTGAAAACATAGAAGAGATTTTTAAAGAAGGAACAACACTATATGGAACAAGGCTGTGGAAGATCCTAATGCACATGCCCTAAAACTAGCAATTGAAGACTACCCTTTCGCAAATGATGCAATCAAACAATGGGTGACCGACTATAACAACCATTATTATCCAAGCCCGAAAATCGTAAAGTCTGACGAAGAGCTCCAAGCATGGTGTACAGAAATTAAAACAGTAGGACATGGTGAAAAAGTGAAGAACCGTGGTGGGCCAATTTAGCATGTTGCAAGAATATTATAGGTATAGATACAAACACAATATTCTAGTATCCAGATTATTTCATATGTATATATAATGTAATAGAAGTACTATAGTTAAAATAAATCTTATTTGCATATATATATTTGCAACTTCATAATTTTTCTGGCTCTTGCTCCGCCAGTGCCTAGATTTAATCAAATTCCCACTCCATGTTTAAATTTAACAAAAAAAGTATCAATCTTTGTCTTTAACTTTTAGCTAAAAGAGTATTATTGATATCACCTACACTTATTTCCCATGGACTATAGTGAATAGTAATCATTAATATTTTACAAACAAATACACCATGCTCATTATTTTATAGGTAAATTTGGTTTACATCCATTGCCTAGCATTTCCCATTATTTGTTTTGGAGTATCCATACGTCACATTCTGAGCGATTTAAAACTGAGAAGAAATTGCACACTTGAACAAACTTGAAATTAATTACATGTTGGTCAAAGCAAAGGTACCCAAAGTCAATAGAAACTACAATCATGGATGAAAGAGCCCCATTTATAGGAGTCAATCACCCACTTCTGTCAGCAAACTAGACTATGTTCAGAATAAAAATTTACAAATGAAGGGTAGAAAATAACACACAACAGGAATGACAAATAATTATGGATAAAATGATATTTACACACATATACGAAGATGGCCTTATTTGTGGGAGCCTCCAATAAGCTTTTCTCTTCATGTCAAGTGCAACCCTCTGTCATGGAGGCTAATGAATATCTTGCATACGCTGCCATAAAAATTTAACCCTACCAATATTTTCAGATGTATTCACAACAGAGAGGAACTAAAGCATCATCACTGGATTATACAACTGCGATAATTATGCGTGTTACTCCTGAGAGCTGTTTGATGCACTCTTCTCGGCTGGAGACGACCTATGAAATCTTCAAGGGAAAAAATGCAGATTCATCTTGCTTGAGTGTTTTCGTCGGCATAGATGCATACACATGCATCTGCAGCACCAGCAGCAAGTAGTAATTGGTATGGGTGGAAATTTAGGCAGCTCACAGAACCGATTTTCTGGGCCATTAGAGTAGGATAGTAACGAATGGTTCCCAGTTGGTCACCCTCAAGGCTGAAAACCTTAATGAGCTGTTTGGCAGAACCACTGGCAATGATTGGAGCATGCCTATGTACTGCTAAAGCAGTGAGAGAGCCCCTGTGAGCTTCAATGGTGAGATAGGCACTGCTGTGATTTCTTATATCAAGGAATTGGATATCCCCAGCCTGAGAAGCACTTACCAACTGAAGGAAAATGAATAATTTCATCACATTAAATCAAATTCATTAGTTACTGAATTTCTGCTACGGTCCACAAGAATTAAAAATCATGAATCTAGGAGACATTTTCTTTACCTTTCCAGGGTCTAACCCAGGTTGAAAGCCAATCCCCATAACTTTTTCTACTCTCTGTGTGTGTGGCCGTAACCCACATACAATCCTAAAAACATCATTGATGAAGGTCGTTAATTATTACAGTGACATTAAAGTTAAGAGACATGAAATATTGAAAACTGAATCTTAAAAATGTCTAGACTTTAGATAAAACCAAAGATACTAGATTGATCAATATGGTTCAAGTCTGAACTTCGATTTGGAGACATGCAGGAAACCGTGTAGAAGGATAAGAACATGTAAGAGCTAATAAATATAATGTTGCTCAAATCAATGTCATCAATTAAGGAGAACAAATAACAACGATTTTTCATCAGGATAAAAGAAATTCAACTGAGGTGCTTACATTTCGGGTGTTCTGACATCATATAGTCGCACAGAGCCATCTATAAAACCAGCAGCAAACTGTCCCCCGTGAACTTGAGAAGCAGCCTAAAATACAAAAGACAGTACATAAATCAAGGGGTTTGGATCACTTGATTGAATTAAATGATACTGAAAGAAAATCCTATCAAAATTGATCCAAGATGTGCAAGAGCGCAGCCGAGCAACCTAAAGTTTTATGGGCATTAAACTGCCAAATGAATAACCGTGGGCTGAGTTTCTTCTTTGAAGAAATCATAAATCATAACGCCCAATCTTCAATCTTAAAGAATTACTAAAGAAATTGAGGGTCGGTATGTGTAACTTTCACTTTCAATACCCAAAACCCGGCAGAGGAAAAGTATGGCAAAGGCAAAGTATGGCAGCAGGGAAAGCCAAAAAATGAACCTTTAGATAAGGTAAACTTTGTATTTATCTCTTAATATAGTCTGCTTAGCTACAATGCGATAATCATTTGAGAAAATATAACACTCACCAAAGAAAACTATATCAGCATAGAGCAGACTTACCAACGCTGAGACGCTGCACTCTGAAGATGAAGGTATAGTATTAACAAGTTGCTCTTTATCAAGATCCCACAGCATTATTGATGACATTTCCCCCGATGCATACTGGTAAATGCATTGGAGTAACATGAAACAACACCATAAAAATCATTAACATCAATATGTGAGGGAATCAGAGTTCTATTCTAGGACAGCTGTAGAAAAGGAAATATCCCTTATTTCAAAGCATATTTAAAGAGTCATATACCAGATAACCACTTTGCTGTTGCCAATCAACAACTGCATTCAGACTCCTCACACCAGGTTTATGACTATGAATTGAAGAGAATGCCGTGACAAGCTTCTGTTTCCCCCTCAGAGAATAGTCTTTCCAAACCCGAACGTTTCCATCAGCTGCAATAAGATTCCCCGTTATTTAATATTCTGGCAAATTAAGGATGGAAGGATATAATACTAAACAGTAGATAAGATTACATGAGGCAGCAAGAAGCAAGCTATCATCAAGCTCATTCACCAGGCAGAGCTTAGAAATTCCTTTATCAGGAAAATCATGATTATCAAAACTGTTAAGTAGTGTTGCCTCTTCGTGGTTCCATATCCTGTGCAAAACTCCAAAGTACATTAGTCAACACCAGAATTCAATATGATGCAATACAATTTTTTTAAATAAGGGCCCATATATTGAAGAAAGAAAAGGGAATACACAAAAAGGAGATAAAACTAATCAATCAATTCATCAAAACCAGATAAATATTCTGACCTAGTCCAAACACACAAGTCCTACTGCCTATAAAGTTAAGAATGCTAGTTATTTAGTTTCCTATGCCTCTACATCTGAGAATCGTTGAGATCTACTAACCCTGACATTGAACAAGTTTTGGAAATTTATATCCCTTAGCAATTTGTTAAGAATGATAGTTATTTAGTTTTCTAAGCCACTATATGAGAATCTGAGTTCTACTAACCCAGAAATTGAACAAATTTTGGAAACTTGTATACCTTAGCAATTTGCTACAGCTCACCTTAAGCCCTTAAATTTATTCTCTTAACATTTACAAGAACACACTAGTCAGCTTATGCTCCCGGCCCAAATCCATGTCCAGATTAATAACAGTCTCCACTAAAGTAATAATAGTATTGACAAACTTTGCATACCTGATGCGTTCATTCTCGTCAGCGGCTACCACTATCGGAGAGAAAGGTTGTAACAATGCTGTTTGTGTACCCTTTATGTCCCATTTAGCAATTGGATTTGTTAACCTACTAACAGCTGATAGAATAAAATGACATAAAGTTCACAACTGGACAGCTGTTAGGAATTTGATAAATTGAGTTAGAAAAAGTGAAATACAAACCAGAGTGCTGGCATTTCACTATGTGCTCCAATGCAAATTTTTCCCTCTCTTCTCTTTTAGCTAATACTTCTTCGCTATCATCTGCAGCAGTTAAAAGTGGTTTGGAGAAGTGCCCACAACTCCAATTATATATATTTGATTGAGGAAGAAAACTGCGATCAAAAGTCCCAGAAGCTCCACCAGATCCTAAAAGTGGGTTAGCCAGTCCAGTGTCTGGAGAAGTCATCAGGTGAGGCCTAAACTCCAATGAACATACTCTACGCATTCCAGCTATATAACTTGTGCGAGGAGGACTGACTGGAGGAGTTCTGAAGGTTAGAGGCAAGTGTCCTACCAGAGCAGCGTGCAATAGTAAACATAAAGCAAATAACATGGCAGCAGGAACTCATGATATAAAATTGATGCAAAGAGATAAATTTTACCAAAAAACATTGTAAAGGTTAACAATTAAGTCAAATATGAGACCTACCACCATTCATATCAAACCAAGAAGATGAGCGAGCAAGACTAGGAGAAATGGTAGCTTCACTAGTACGAACACCAGAAGGCTTCGCTGGTTTTGCTACCACTTGTTCGATACCTATTATGGACAGTACCCGGCGACCAAGGTTCCCAACTCGCGGAGATGGATCTTTTGCCAAAGTACACATAGCCATTACACACTGCGAATACAGTGCATTATCCAAAGGTTTCGGCCCAAAGTTGTTAACCACTCCATTGCTGAAACCATCATTCAGTATTCCTGAATCTGAATGATGAGAGGAATTGTCAGACAATGGGGACCCATGCATGATTCCAGAACTAGCAAGAGGACTGCTTGAAGAGACTCGCCCATCACGAATTACTTTAGAATTTTCACTCCCAACCCTTAGAGGACCAATTTGAGGTGAAACAATACTACCATGAGCCATATGTTGGCTCTGTTTAGAATATCCACCACCCGTATCTTTAATATTAGCCAATGATGGTAAGGAATTTATCAAAGAATTAGTCTGAGGCTTCCAACATGCAGCAGCAATAGATTTAAGGTGCTTGTTGTGGCCAAACGCAAAACGTGCTAGAGCTGACAGTTGAAAGAAAATTCATTTCAGTAAAATATCTTACAAAACTAGTCCCACTTAATACTACAAAATAAAAGTAAGTTATCTAGAAAGATGTGCAAGTCAACCATCAAACCAAAAAATGGCTGCCATGAATAACAAATTAGAGAAAACAATAACAGACACAAACATATGTATATAAACAATTTTATGTGCGTGTGAAAGATTTTAGATGCAAGTATAACCATTTTTCTCATTAAATTGAAATCTTTTCTTATTTATTTACAAAAATTAATTTATTTGAAGTAGTTCAATCCTTTTTCTAAGTTCTGATATAACTGACAATTAGGAACTCACTAGCAGATAACTAAAAATTTCTCAGAATCATTCTACTAAAATAAATAACTAATAAACAAACAGTATCAGTATTATCTATCTAATCATATTCATAAGAACATAAAATCTTCTCATGAACATGTTGAAAAAAATATAAACATTCAGATGTTTCATCACCTACCAACTGCTACCTCTGCTCTCACCAATGGACTCCCATCTGAAGCGACACTTAAGAGACTCCTAACTATACTGACTTCAGCCCTAAACTTGTCATCATCATCACATTCTTCATCTCCACCACCACTTCTACATGAATCAAATCCCACATCGACAAGGGTACCCAGTGCAAAAACAGCGGATGCCCTAACCTGAGAACAGCAAATTACAAACTTCAAGTGTTTATTTGATATACCAAACAGTAGTCATCTGGAAACTAGAAATAGAGTCAATTAGTTGGGCAGTTAACCTCTGGCTGGGGTTCGGACAGTAGAGGAGAAAATATAGAAGTTGCATTTCCTTGCAAACCGATTAATTTTCCCTCTGTGAATTCTTCCCACAACTTCCCTAGACACAGGCAAAGCCACTGAAGGAAAAGGGGCTCAGTTTGAGAATCATTAGGAGATGAACTCTCAAGGTGCTTTAAGCAGACATGGCTCAAACCCGCTTCAATACAAGCTTCTTGGCCTCTTCTATGACCATCAACAATCACCGCTAAAACAAAAGCAGCCATTGCACGTTGCTCTGGGTATGCCTCCGAGCTATCAAGGAACTTCATAAAATAGATGTGACCTCCGTCCTTCACTAGATCAGTCTGACATGACTGCAACCCAGCAATGGAACATATCAATGCAAGATACAGTAGAAATGCCACATGGAGATTTTCCAAACCAAATTAGAAGGAAAAAAAATAGAAAAGGAAATACATGAGTGGACAAAATATGAAATTTTGTAATAATCCCATTATTTCTTTCATTCATTCAATTGAATATCAGGCACTTATGATGACTGTTCCATTGATTGCATAATTTGGATTTTTGATTGATAACTCAGGCATTATATCAATAGACTGATCTACTGCCATGTAAAAGTTTCTCATAAAAGAAAAGGAATTTTCAGTCTTCCTACTCAAAGATATTTTTATAGGGCAATGAACAATTGAGCAACTTCATATTGGCCCTTGATGTTTATTTCACTCTTTTTCTATTATCATTCTTTTTTACTTTTTTTAGCTTGTCCAGAACCACATCTGATGGAAAAAAATAACATGTTCATATAATTTTCTTAGAATGTGTGGGTTGGGCCTAACTCATCCCTACAAAACCGGCTTATAAGTTGAGGATTGCCCTCCCTTATAAACACAACACATGCCATATCTCTAAGCAGTGTGGAACTAAATCCACCCCTTCAAACCCAACACAATGAAGTTGTTGGAGGCTGCAATGAAGGCAAGCCAAAGCCGCAATTTAGGCGACTAGGGGCGGACCACAATGAAGGCGGAAATTCCAACAACTTTAATAATGACTGAAGTACAAGCATAATCAATCGACGCAGAAATTTCAACATGACATGTATTAAGCAAATATCATGTCTGCTCAAATGTCAGTTAAATGCTGAATCATGTGTATTAAGCAAATATCATGTCTGCTCAATTGCCAGTTAAATGCTGAATCATGTGTATTAAGCAAATATCATGTCTGCTCAAATGTCAGTTAAATGCTGAATCATGTGTATACACGCACAGCAAGCACATGTCTTGCAACAAACTACGGAATTGATATGACGTTCTAATTAAGATAAAACTAATATCCTGCGAAAGTACCTTGTCAAGTGCAAGAACCTTTGTCCATATGAATACAAGAATCTGACGTAGTTCTGGTGTGGTTGTTTGCAACAGTTTCAGAACATAAGGGAAGATTCCAACAGATAATGCCTACATATAAGAAACTCAGTATCAAATTATTATAATATAACAATCCTTTTCGAAAATACATAAAAACAACTGCAATATAGTTTGATGAAATGTGAGAAAAATTACCAGATCCACAGCCCATGGGCCCATATCAAGGAATCTTCCTAGAAGTACTAAGGCACGAAATCGATGGCATTGACTAAGTAAAACCTGAAATAGAAAAAGCACTACTTATGAATGCATGCAAAATTATGAACAAATGTCAAACAATTATCAAAGAGGCTTAGAATATAATTTTTGTGAAAAGGGAAAAACAAAGTGAGGGAGTATGATTAACCAAAATGATTGAGAGTTGGGATAAAACAAATATCCAACTTTAGAAGAAAAAAAACATTGTAGAAAAGCAACACACTCGGTCACCATACAAGTATGAGTATAATTACCAAGGCTACATACAGAATGAAGAGAAAAAAATAATTCCCGAGTCAAAAACTTACAACAAACAAATAAGAGACAAATAATTGCAAAACAATTTGAGAAGCAGGAACTTGTCCATATAAATTTCCAATAGCATCTCCATTGACTGAATAAAGAACCCAGAAAATATCCCTTGACATTACTACATCGGAATCTAGACATATAGCTAACGAGAAGATGCTTGCAAATAATACATATATTTATCGAATTTCCTTCAGAAGGATGATATTGATCATCAGCCAAATCGAAAAAGTATTCGCAATAAACTTAACCTAATTCAAACAACAAAGTCCCAATTAAGGAACGGTAACTTACATAAAACAGGTATTAGAAACCAACACAATGGTTCCAAAGTTAACAAAGACCAAGACATGTGAGGTACCTGAAGTACTATAGGCAACTGTTCGGGTGGTTTCTTATGCTCAGAACCATGGTCAAGCCAGACTTCAAATGCTGTTAACTGCTCGGTGAAAAATGTACTAGGCTGAAAGAGAACAGCCATATACTTCATCAGGTAAGGTCAAAACTTATAAACAATATTAACTTATGCTATTGTTCCTTAAAAAAACACAATACCAGAGCCAACTTTCTATATTAAATATTCAATTTCACCTTACATCAGAAGTATAAAATAAAGCACTAAATTACCTGAAATTCTGCATTAGGATCCTCAACTAATAAAGGAAGTTGAGAAAGGCAGAGCTCGGCAGCCATGTCCCATGCATCCCTGCAGCATGGATTAAAAACATATTCTGATGCTAAAGTTTATCAACAAATAGCATTTTTCTAACAATAATCACTAACAATACCACATGTGATGCTGATGGGTTGGTGGTAACGTTGGGTGAGAGACGGGAGTACAATTTGCGGATCGCATGATTCGCTCAGCAAGTAGAAAATTTCGAAACAAACTTGCAACAAGCAAATCCTGTCTGAACAGTCTCTGAAAAAGATCTGCAGGACAAAGTCAATATCAATATATGATAAAAGAGACCAACCAAAATTGGTTGCAATATGCCTGGGTTGAAAATACACCATGGAACTTTAGGAAGTCAGTGGGAAGGATGGAGAGGGTTGACACCTACCATGAGGAAGAACATTCCAAGCAATTGTATCAGTTACTGCTGTAAATATCCAATTCAATTCACCCAGAAGTGTCTTTCGGTCATTTGGACGGCCAGGGATCTTGTCTATAAGTGAATAATCAAACGAGTCGCGAAGTAATGAACGAGTGCAAAACCTAGAGACAAATTACCAAAAAAACACATTGAACATCGATTAATAAAATTAATGCTTACACTATTCAAGAGTTCCTGATCTGGAAAACGACAGTTTAGTAATGAAAAAAGCAGTCAACCCTAAACCAACTTCTTAGGGAAAACCAACATTATCGGTGACATTGTTTTATCTTCACCAACATAAATCTAGCTAAAATAAATTAACAAAAAATAAAATGTCGGTACAACAAAAATACCCTCAAGGAACAAACTACATGATAAAATATGCCATAAACAGTAACGATGTATACAACAATTCATCATAAAATGCCGCTCATAAAGCATTATGTTACCTCCAAATAAAAAAGATTACATTAAAACTCCCTGAAAGTTTATGATATAAAATACTCAAAAGGTGATATACTAAACAAGAATTAATTGGAGAGAACATTCACCATCGCAATGCCATCTTTATTGGTGTTGTAAGACAAGCTGTAAATACATCAGCTGGGAATTCTACACTCTGGGGCAACGTCTCATGTGCTTCACATGCTGCGAGCATAATGCAATCCCTTGGAGACCCAGAAGAGTTAGAAGCACTCCATTCATGAAGCTTATCAATAACAAGTCCAGCAACAAAATTTCATAGTCCAAATAAGAAAATTACAAAATCAGAACCGATATATTTGAAGTTTTCTTTTATAGCATTAATAAACATGATTTTGAATAAATACCTCAATGAAGGAATTCACAATTTTACCAGCCGCAGAGCAATCAAAAACATAAATTGATGGGGTCTTCAGCCAGGAATCAAGGTCCCTGATTGGTAAAGGGATATACTGCGTATAACTCTGGGAAATGGGAATACGAATGAGAAATGATATTTGACACAAACTTGACATGTTGAGTTTTGACCTCAAATTGGATGATTAACACAGTTAAAATACGTGGTTAATCAGGTGTTGCAACTTATGAAACATTCGTTAACCACGAACTTGAACATCATCATTTTTAAGTGCTCACATATACATATACCGAATAACCATCCAAATTGTGTTCAAATGTACATGATTTTAGAGTATACATGATATTCCTTGACCACTATTTGTGTTCAAATATAAACTAAAAAAAATATGGTAACTGGTTAATTATGTCCAGTAAATAGCTAATGTGTTGTTAGTTGGGACACCTTTCTAATTCATTAATCATATAATGAACATAATTAACCGCATATTTGAACTAAGTTGACCATCTAAATAGAGGTCAAATTTGACATCAAATTTGTGTTTCAAAATAACTCAACAAGAATATGACAAAGTTCTTTTCATTATTGTCATTTTCCGAATTTGCAACCCATGGTTAAGTAGTTAGAATTAAATTATTTCGGACTCTCTGATAAATTGATATTCAGATTCAGTTTAGCTTCGTTATACTGGTACTCCCTCCGTCCCTATTTTAAAAGACTCTGAGACACGTCTTACACATATTAAGAAAAGTTAATAATGTAATTATTATATATTGTGTAATTATTACTAAGTTGCCCTTTGTTTGTAGATGCGTTTACTTTGACTTTTCATCTACCAAGAAAAATTGATAGTAACAAGGGACATATTTGGAAAAAGAGTAATAAATGCATCAAAAGTTTGTAGAGGATCTTATATTAAAGGACAAACAAAATTTGCAAAAGGAACTTATAATTAGGGACAGAGGGAATAATAATTTCCTGTTATTTCTCAGTCCTCCTTTTATTGATTATCTAATCTCTCCCACCTCACCTCTATTATGCTTGCTGACAAAATATCTCAGCAAAATTAAAGGCATAACAAGTACACTAAATAAAATACAGTATATTCACCAATAGATTGGTCCAAATGGTAAGGAATTTAGACCCCTTAAGCAAGTAGTCAGGGGTTCGATCCCTGGCTCTTGCGTATGAAAAAAATTCGGTTGGGAAGGGAGAACCCACCTTGCGTGTCCCACATGTTCCCTGACCGAGATTAGTCACCGTTAAACGTGGGTCGAAACCTTGTACCTATAACATGGCAACCCAAAAAAAAATACAATATATTCATTTTGGTTGGACAAAAATAGAAAAATTGCTTTCTCGCCTGTTTCCATCCTCCCATACTTTCACTCTAATTTTCTTCTTTTCAAAGATTTCACGGGCTTGTTATCACTCCTTTTTTCTATCCTCCCATTTACATTGTTTATATCACTAATTTATTTTGGAGACAAAAGGAACTCTATATGTAATTTATAAGAAGCTCCACCGTAACTTGAGCTGAAAATTAGTACCTATAACATGGCAACTAAAGAAAAAATACAATATATTCATTTTGGTTGGACAAAAATAGAAAAATTGCTTTCTCGCCTGTTTCCATCCCATACTTTCACTCTAATTTTCTTCTTTTCAAAGATTTCACCTGATTGTTATCAATCCTTTTTTCTATCCTCCCATTTACATTTTTTATATCACTAATTTATTTTGGAGACAAGGAATTCTATATATGTAATTTAGAAGAAACTTATATATTAAGTTAGATCCCTGTCTTCTGGACAAGGAATTCTGGATAACTAATTGGTTTGAGAGATAAGATGGACGAAGATTGACCTTATTGAAAACCCAAATTTCACCATTAGGAGTTGGCTTTGGCACACCATGGCCATTGTAATGGAACAAAACTCTTTCTGACTTTGCATATCTACGACATGTAGTACAAAGCTTTTTCACCTCTTCCAATGTTGGATCAAGTTGACACTTATAGCGTGCCTATAAACGTAGCCACAAGGTCAGGTAAAAACCAATTAAAAAAGCTTATATGCAGATGAGGCTAGCAAGCTAAACATTCCCACCTTCGGTTGCCATCTTTCATACTGACTGGTCAAAGATTTCCCAATCAAATCTAATGCCTTTTGTGGTGCCATAGAAAAAGGATCTGCAGCATTGAGAAAGCAAAGCATCAAAGATTGTTTGTGCCACTAACCATAGTCGTAAACATGTAGAACTTTAACATACAATAATGGTTTACTTAATCATTTTATTAACATTTAAGGCATTAGATTTGTAAAAGCTGGGAGTGAACAAGTGTAGAGTGGAAAAAATTGGTTAAGACGTGTAAAAGCAGAAATCAGAGTCCAACGCCATTAGACATGAGTACAAAACATAGTGCAGGTATATACCTTACTGCCAGAAAACTCATTGACAATTGATTTGGATTTATCACCATTTGGAACTTGTAAATTCAAGTAATTATTTAAGCACAAAAATAAGTATACAGTATTATGAGGTAATCAAAAGCTAATTTCAAACATTAACTGAACATGAAGAAATGCCAAAAATAGAAAGTAACTTATAGTACAGACCATGGAAAACAAAAGCTTCAAAAACAAATGAGATTGGAAGGGTCACTACCTATCCAACACTCCATTCTTGCACAAGGGGATATCTTTATTACATCTGGTGGATCAACACTGATATTTAAACATAATACTAGAGCTACACATCCTGTCTTCATCTGCACAAGAAAATTAGGGGTTAAATCAAAGAATGTGTCTCATTTATATGTTTCTATCAATAACAATGATTATAACATTTTAGAAGGAACAGAACATAGACTTCAAATGAAAATCTATAAATATATCTTTACAGAATAAAGCTAGACTTCAAAATATTCCCTCATTGGCCGTTACAGAAAAATATATGTGATTTGAGCTGTCCTGCCCTCAAAAATAGGTAACAGCACATTAGTGTTTTGGCACAGTTCAGATTTGTTATGTAATTACAAATACAGCAAGAGTAACGTTTTATTCAAAAGAATAATCTTTTTCTTCCTTCACAAGTCTCTATAAGGATAATAAGGAATACATTTTAGAAAACTGTGAGTATTACTATGTAGATTATCCATTATACACTGTTATCAAGATCAAGATCTTGCCTAGGATTGAGAGAGGGTAGCAAGATCATAAAACGTAAAACGTAAGATTTTAACAAGGATCATTAGATCCTACAAAATTATTGCCTGGGTTCGAATTGGGGCAGCAAGATGGTAACAAGGATCATAAGATGTCAAATAAGTAGTATGCTATCATTTGTAACGATAACAATGAACAGTAATGCTAAAAAGATTACCAATAACGATACTCTACCATATCTATATTAATTTTATTTGTTATCTATTTTATTATTGTTAGCTTTTTTATATATAACAACCAATGGACTAGAAGCCCAAAATATTATATGACCTTTATCTTGTTCTAGTTTATTTCTCTCACAAGTCTTTTTCTTCCTTCGCAAGTTTCTATTAGGATAATAAGGAATACATTTCAGAAAACTGCAAACTGCAAACATCAGTATGTTGATTATCCATTGTACACTGCTATCAAGATAAAGAACTTTCCAAGGATTGAAATATTTCCTAGGATCGAGAAAGGATAGCAAGATTGCAAAACGTAAATTTTTAACAAGGATCATAAGATCCTACAAAATTATTACCTAGGATCGAGTTGGGGTAGCAAGAATGTGTCAACGATCATAAGGTATCAAATAAGTAGAGCATGTAATTACTTGTAATGATAACTATTTATTTTTCTGAAATATTGGTATCCGGCATTGTGACCAACTAATCCAAGGGACAAATCCCAATGTCCACTTTCGTGGGGCCGTTAAAGCCCGGGCTTGGCCCAACACAGGAATTGTTTGCACCTAGCGGGATTCAAACCTGAGACCTGGAGAGGAGCACACAGTAAGGATCCAAAGATTACCAATAACAATACTCTACCATATATATCTATATTAATTTTACTTTTGTTAATTATTTTATTAATGCAAGCTTTTTATATATAACAACCAATGGACTAGAAGCCCAAAATTATTATATGAACTTTTTCTTGTTTTAGTTTATTTCTTTAATTTTGAGTGAATGGGTCTGAATAAGCCAACTTTATCTCCTCTTTCCAAACCTAGAGACAGTGGGGATCACCGTACAGAAAGCTGGAGAAGAACAAACCACCCCTGCAACAAGTTGAAAATACTATTGCTGCCCGCCAAATGCAAAGAGAGGTTGGGAAAGTTGACCACGGAGCAGAGGTCTGGGATATCTGAGAAAGGTTGGTTTAGACAAGCAAGAATGGTCAAGAGATTTGATTTGTTTTAGGGCACAAATTGGTTTAAAATATGGGTTTAGGAAAAAGGACTGTACAAAAAGGACTGTACCACTGCATCTGGAACATTTGTCTTAGCAGGTGATCTCGGAGTGGTGGTGGCGGTGTCACCAATACATTCAGCCGGCAATGTGCATTCAACATGTGTAGCTGTTCCGGTTGCAAGACGTGACAAAATTAGGTCACACATGCGGCCCAATCACTCATTCACATCTGCATAAGGTTCACGGTGTGAAGTCCCTTAAATACCCAACCCTGTTCTTAACTTTTAAAGGGTATACTGGTCATTTCAATTGATTTTAAACTGCCTATTTTATTCTTCTTTCACGAGTAAATTGTCCTTCTCATTCTCGCTCAGCTCTGTGTAACTGTTCTACGAAGCTCTTATTTTGTTTCATGTTACACCCATCTTCTGCGTGTGCGAACTGCAAAGGCCACTTACGAAGCCCTTCTCCGGTTTCTCCTTATTTTGCATGCGAAGACCACATTTACTAATCTTTCCTCTTTGGGTTCTTGTGTTCTTCTCTGTTCTTTAGTTAGCTGTTAAGTTATATTGGATTATGATGTTTACTGTTAATGACAAATTACCGAAGTTACTTGTACTTATTAGTATGATTGCACCTTTAATTTTGTGAATTTTGCTATAATAGTTTAGTTTGTATATTGTTTTTAGTCTTCACAATATAATGATCCCACTATCTGCTATAGCAAATTTGAGGTTCAGGTCTCCACCCCACTAATTAAGATTAATAACATCGCTCCTAACTAAGGTGTCTCTCACCATTTGGACAAGCACGTCTCGGTCTTGATTAGATGTTCATGTTGAAAAAGCCGCAATTTCTTATTTCTAACAACGCAATTATGATATTTCTAAAAAAAAGTGAAGAACAAATAAGATAATAAATAAAAATCAATGGAAATCTAAAACCATAAGCGCAAAATTTCCAGTTGAAACAGTCCGATTTAGTGGAAGGAGGCTTGCTTATTGGAATCTTAAGGTAAAGCAACTTACTAAAAACTAATATACATTTTTTCTGCATCTATCTACTTTTCCTAGATCAGAATCAACTTCTGTCAACCACTTTCCACCTTATTGCCAACTTAAGAAATTAGCACCCTCCCACTCATGCGATAGACCACCTCCTAGTGGAACCTACTGAGATATATAAAACGCCTATCATTCTAAAGAAGCAAAGCAAATGTAAATAACAGTTTCCTTGTTTCTTTTCAGAAACCACTACTGCAGTCAAGCAATTCCACCATAATGCATAAAATTTCAGCTCAGTTCTTAAGCCAGTATAAATTCTAGAGAGACGCCAAACTTTAGAATGAATATAAGTGGTGCTACTGAGGCACCTATCATGTTTATTCTTTTTGTCACTAACATTATTATTTCATGCACTGTTTGAAAGTGAGATACTCAAAATCATGAATTGGGAAGTTGATAACGATTCATAAAAATCCAATGGCTTTAGAATAAAATCCTACTCTACAACAACAACAACCAAGCCTTATCCCACTAAGTGGGGTCGACTACATCAAATTCCGCCATAATGTTCTATCCAATACCATGATTCTATCCAAATCTCGAGAACTTTCTTAATAGTTTCTCATGTAGCTTTTCTAGGTCTTTCTTTACCTATATCATGTATAATATAAACAACTTTTAAAATCTTGTCTAACACAAAACTCACTCTCTTGATTTTCTCATTAATCACTAATACTCGCCCTTTATTTATTTTAAATTAGTGGATCCAAAGCCTTGTTCGAGATAAACTTCAACTTAACACTATCTATATTGCACAAAGGCAAGCAACAGGCCTAAAAGTCCTTTTTTTCCTACAATTTCCAATTTTTTATGACACAAATTTTCCACTCACATAAGAAGCAAATCGCAAATCACCAAGTCATTAAAGAAAAATGCAGAAAAAATGCGCAGAGCACGCTCTCTAAACAACCTAATGAAAACAAAAACAGGATACTGAACTCAAAGAAAGCACGTACTTTATCCTTCGGCCGCCATTTCGAGACCAAACCACTATCGGAAGGACCTTTAGGAAGCTCAAGTTCAAATGCATCGTGACGAAGCTCATTAAAGAAATTAGTCTGCGGTAGATACGCCATGGTAGTAGCAGCGTTAACATAAGCGGCGGTGCTACTACTACTCGTAGCAGCGAATTCGGAATCACGCCGATGAGGAACGGAAGTGATATCGTTGTCATCGTTTAAAGCGGCGGCGGAGGCGGATGAGGAAAAAGCAGTAGCGGTGGATTCGTCGTGGTGATTAGGAACTATGAGGACAGTTGATTGAGAAAAGCGTGATGCCATTAAATCCCCCAATGCCATTCAAATCGGAAACCCTTAGCGATCAATCATTCGAGGGTGGATGGTTTTTGGAAACCCTAGTTATTTTTGTGGAAAATATGAAGGTGGTGGTGAAAACGATGGTGGTGGTGATGTTGATGGTGAGGGCGGTGATGGTGACGGTGGCGCATAGAAGTGTGGCGGCACAGACTGCCTCTTCTTGAATGGAAACGGAAAACCAGTGAGAAATTGCGATTTTGTAGAACAGAATAATAAAGGGTAAAACTAAATAACAACAATATTTATATTTACAACAATAATATTTATTATTTTTTTGGTTATGGCAATACAATATTTATTATTTAATTTTAGACTTTTTTCTTAATTAAATTTTTTTATTTTTGGAGAATTTTTGTATTTTTACTGTTTTTTTTGTTTTTATTTTTCCTTTTTTTATTAAACATTATTGTAATTTGTATGTCGCTTTTCAACTTTACTTTTTAAATTATTCACTTCAATGTAAGCAAGGAAAGTTTTGATTTGACTAGAGGTAGTATTTACATTTACATTTAAGCACGTGATTATTTCAAAAATAAATATTTGTAGAATATCCTTTAGTTTTGGAATTTTTTTTTAGAATAACAAACTATTACTTAAAAATTACCAAATAAAAACAAGTTTTTAAAAATTTTTCAAACTAACTACAATTCAACCGGCAGTCGCCAAAGCATATGGCGACATTGTTATTGCTGGAAATTGAAAAGAGGCAAAGTTGCCAAAGCATATGGCGATAGAGAACAAGTGTAAACAAAGTCGTCAACGCATATGGCAAAACAGTTGGTTGTTTAGAGTTTACGCATTTGTCATTTAAATAAATATTAATAAATATTTTACCTATTAATAAATATTTTAGTTATCTATTAAATTCATTAAGTTTATTATTAAATTTATAAATATTTTAATAACCTATTAAATATTTATGTTATTATTAAGTTTATAAATATTTTAATATATATTATGTTGTTTGTTATTTATAATTAATTAAAATTTAAAAAATCCTTAAATAATATAGACATATAAGAATTTATAATATATTAATGAAAATTAAAAAGTTAAAATATATTGACAGGTAAGAATTTAAAAGAAAAGTTAAAATATATTAATTTATAATATAATGAAAATTACAACTGAAAAAAAATATAATGAAAATTACAACTCAAAAAAAAATTAATGGTCGGCTCTATCCAAGCGACCACCGGTGCCACACTGCGGGGGATGCGCGTTGCGACGAGGTCTACGACGAGGTTGTTGTGGTGTGTCTGGTCGTTGTGTGTTGAGTTGTTGAGGAGGGTTTTGTTGGGACGGTCCCGACGTATCAGATAGATTTTGCAGCATTTGACCCCAATAGTCGGGAGGTCCACTATCAACGGCGCTTCCGTAGTTTAGCTCAATGCCCATGTTTTCGAAGGATTGTCGGGGAGGTTGGGTGGTGTATGGACGATATGGTTTTCCGAATTCGTACATCGAATTGGGTTGGAAATAGTGTGTTGGTTGTTGTGGGGTGTGGTAGTCAAATAGTGGATAATTGGAGGGGTAGTTGGAGAGGGTAGGGTCAAATGAGTTGTTTGGGCTATAGTTGGAGGGGTAGTTGGAGAGGGTAGGGTCAAATGAGTTGTCTGGGCTATAGGCGGAGGGGGTAGGCTCAAAAGACGTATCAGGGCTATAATGGTATGGTGGTTGAGGCTGGGACTGGGTGGGTTGCATGTATGGGTCATGGTATGGTGGTTGATGGGGGGCATTTGGGGACATGTATGGGTTATGGTAAGGCTGATTTTGGGCACTGGACTGTTGTTGTGTGTTGGACGAAGAAGCGCGTTGCCTTGGGTCGACCAAATATGTTGGCTGGGACAGAAATGGCTGAGATGTCGTGACAGACCTAAACCAAGTCATATATTGAAGACTTGGCCTAGCCCCGTGCACAATACGGTCGGTTAAGACGTGTTGCCTTCTTCTCTTTCTGTGTTTACACAACTCCTTCGCAAACTCCTTCCAATCACTGACACTCCACTGCGAGTCCACCCGCTTTTGATGCCACTGCCCCAACTCTACCGGAGCATCTGGAATATTCTGATGCATCCCAAATTGTAGCTTCACCCGGTCACTTTGGTGCATCTCCACCGTAGTGAACCTAATTATGGGTGTTCTTGATGTCCACACAGCAACATCATTGGGGTCGGGCTGGTGGTCGAGACCCTCGTACGGCATCCAGACAAACTACAATAAAGGTGGATACATTTAGTCAGACAGAGATAAACAAGGTTGTGGTATAAGTTAGACAAATTAAAGGTAAATGACTTACATCATCTGGCCCAAGGTGGTCGATGAGGTTGCAGTATTGAATTATAGAGTGTCTGGGACATCTCTGATAATTCATCCCTGGAACAGACCACCTAAAAAAAATAAACACATATAAGTTAGCATCTAAAACACATCTCACAAATTATTAACTTACAAAGAAAATCTAGTTGCAAAATAATCTTGAAAAGAAACTTACTTGTTGGCGTACAGAAATGTAAAAGAATTTCGGTTTATTGGAGCAAACGTTGGCATCCTAGACCAACCCCACGCTTGTAAGAGATAAGCACAGCCATAAAAAGTACATGAATTTTTTTTGGAAGTTTTGCAAAGTGCGTTATAGAGATGGGCGAGGATAGCGGATCCCCAACTATATTCGCACACTTTGTTTATATTTTGTAATAATGGTAAATACATAATATGGACGCTATTTCCAGTTCCCTCTGGAAATAAAAAGTGACCGAACAAAATCATAATATAGCACCTTGTTTTGACTATTATGTCATATTCGGTGCTATCATCAGTTAGGACAATATTGTTGTATTGTTCTCTGAGGTATTTTAAATTAATTCCCTGACCCCTAGGACGACCCTCGCTTTCCGCCTGAGGTGCATCCATACAAAGAGGGGCGCCCAATAAATCTTCGCAAATTCGGTCAGGGACACCAACTTTGCCGTTGACGGCCTTACCATCGATGTGTAGGTCGAGCAACATGTATACGTCTTAGAGAGTCACCGTACACTCACCAAAAGGTAGGTGAAATGTGTGTGTCTCCGGTCTCCAACATTCTAACAACGCTAGAATAAACTTCATATCGAGAGAGTATGACTTGATTTTGATTACATCACCAAACCCACAATGATTAAGGTACCCCGCAATGAGGGGGTCGTGTGGTATGTAATCATGCACACGACATCGAAATCTTGATGTATCCTGCAACAGATAATTAATGTTTCGTTAGACAAGAACTAAAATAACTAACGTTTCAAGATTGTGAACATATATAAGAACTAAAAACTTACAAACTCGGCGATGTTTTCAGTCGTGCCTCTGTAAGAGTCGCCCATGGTGAGTAAAGACATTGTCGTTTGAGATGTTGAGATGTAGAGATGTTGAGAGTTTTTTAGTTTGAGAGTTTGGGAGTTTGAGAGTTTAAGGGTTTGAGAGTAGGAGAGTTTAATTGTGAGCAGAGTTTGCTGGGTAAAGACCCTATATATATACACAAGCATAAAATGCACATATTCCACATTTTCTCACCACAATTCATTTTAATCATCATATATATTACAATATATGTTTAAACAATTATGGATAATCACCAAGCCTATTTCCTCATACATACATCCAAAGTTCTCAACTCAACAATTCACACACAAACATACTTTCATATAACAATGATATATATGTCATGTGACTCATATAAAATTCATCAATTCTCACCAATCCCTATTTGGGATTATGGGTACATCGTTATACCCCACCAGGAACAACATCTCAGTTATTCTACCCCGGTGATTATTCCACTAGGAACGACATCTTAGTCATTTTACCCCAGTGTATACGACCATGTCACTATACCTCACTAGGAACAATATTTGTCATTCTACCCCAGTGATTACTCCACTAGGAATAACATCTTAGTCATTCTACCCCAGTGAGTACGAGCATTACACATATACATATTTTCAACATCATCCTCACATTTACCAAGCAATGCACATATATTCACAATATATTCTCATGCATCCTTCACGCACAATCGCATACAATTATTATGCACTCACAATATCGCGCCAACAACAACGAACTCAATCACATTCATCATGCACTTTTAAGTAATTTAAACAATGCATATGTTTGTCAAAAGACCAAATTTTCCACAATTGATTCCACAATCTAGGATTCATGTCATACGGCTACCCACAACATATCACACAACAACATACAAACTATTCATTTCCGATAAGGATTGAACGCAATCGAACCAAATAATCAACATTGGATGGAAACACAAGGAAATGAAAATGTTGTCACACTCGCTAGCTTACTCGCCTAGCGAGTTCCTAGCGAGCAATCGCTACCTGTTCGCCTAGCGAACAAGCTCGCGAAGGCAAACAGAAGCTACTGTAAGGCTTCGTTACCTACTCGCTGGGGCTTCGCCTAGCGAACCCCTCGCTCGCTACCAGTGAAGAGGGTCAATTACATTCTGTCCAAGTCTGGGACCACTCGCTACAGTGAACACTCGCGACCTGCTCGCCTAGCGAAGGTGCTAGCGAACGTCTGCGATGTTCAAAACCCCAACTGTCCAAAATCATCAAATCATCACAAAATCAACTGATTCAATTCCAACGAATTCCAATAGTCTTAGCCTAACATTTCTCGACTAATCTACACCATTTATTCCAGATTTTAACCGTTTAAACATCGACTTTATCGATTAAATTCATTTCTGCCCTAGAATGGAAAAAGATGAAAACATCCAAACAAATCCAAACACACACATACAATCATATACATTGACAAGATAATGATATTTCACACTCTTACCTTGATTAAATCGAAGCTAGAAGTTGTTCTTGAGCTTTCCAAGCTTTTTCCCCTTTTCCTTCTCTTTTCTCCTCTTCCTCTTTCTTTCTCTTCTCTTTCTCTTATGTTTTCTATTCTTCCCTTTTCTTTCCACCTTTCCTTATATGTCTTTCTATTCTAGTTCCTTCCATCATATTTCTTCTCTCAAAATATCTACCAATAATTCCAATAATTAAAATCATCCAAATAAATCAATTAATTAATATGAATAATTAATTATTGGAAATTGGATTGTTACATGTGTTCTACACGCATGCGGGACATGTGTGATTTTTTCTTATTATGTTTTTTTCTAAATTAAAAACATATGGTTTTTTTGATGGATGATAACTTATACTGTATGTAGATTTATTTTTATTATTATTGTTGTTTAGTGTAATACATATCTATTTAACCAACTATGTGAAAAACAGATTCTTTTTTATGTAGGGTCACATGTGAAAAGCAGATTCCTGCTCTGTCCCGTCTCATCAAGCATGCTGCATGCAGGGTCACATGTGAAAAGCAGATTCCTGCCCCGTCCCGTCTCATCAAGCATGATGCATGCAGGGGCACATGTGAAATGCAGAGTCCTGCATTGTCCCGTCTCATCAAAGTATGTTTCATATGTTTTTGTCGTTGATTTTGTAGGTTGATTTTTTAGTAACCGTTGTGTGATTTTTTCTTATTATATTTTTTTCTAAATTAAAAACATATGGTTTTTTTGATGGATGATAACTTATACAGTATGTAAATTTATTATTATTATTGTTGTTGTTTAGTGTAATACATATCTATTTAACCAACTATGTGAAAAACAAATTCTTTTTTATGCAGGGTCACATGTGAAAAGCAGATTCCTGCCCTGTCCCTTCTCATCAAGCATGCTGCATGCAGGGTCACATGTGAAAAGCATATTCCTGCCCTGTCCCATCTCATCAAGCATGATGCATGCAGGGGCACATGTGAAATGCAGAGTCCTGCATTGTCTCATCTCATTAAAGTATGTTTCACATGTTTTTGTCGTTGATTTTGTAGGTTGATTTTTTAGTAACCGTTGTGTGATTTTTTAATAAAGTCTTTCAACTCTTTAATAAAGTCTTTCAACTCTTAGACTATTTAATAAAGTCTTTCAACTCTTAGACTATTTAATAAAGTCTTTCAACTCTTTAAACTCAAACACTCGAACTCTCAAACACTCAACCACTAATCTCTTTAATACAGTTTTCGCCATGTCTCAAACACCACAATATATGATTTCTGCACATCTTAACGGTGAAGTTTTTGAAAGTGAAATATCGGGTTACAATTTCAGAAACACTGATGTAACAAGATTTTTAATTGACAGAAGGTCTAATTTTTTACACCTGAAGTCAAGAATAGAAAAAAAACTGCAATGTGGTCCAGTTGGGCAAATTATATACAAAAACCCAGTGTTTTTTAACGGCCATGTTGAATGCAAAATTTTCCCGTTAAAGGTGCGAGACGATGAAGATGTGCGTAACATGTTCCACAGTCACGAGTATTCTGGTTTCTCAGATATCGTGTTATATGTTAAGTTACAACAACAACAACAACTGTAACACCCCACTTCCCAAAAATTAAATAAAATACAATTATTTCAAATAAACATCAGAGTTTCCCCTCACAAGTGGGATATCACATCAAATAGTTCAACATAAATCTTCATCAGTTGGTTTTCAAAATAAACTGCGAAAATAATCATTAATCCAATATTCTCGGTCATCCGCCCAATTTACATAAAATTATTCATTAATAAGTTCACCAAATATGATACGTCACAGGAGTAAAGCAAGTTCAACATACAACAAATAAACACCCAAGTCCCGTGCTACGTATCAGAGCATCCTAAGACTCGACTCGCACACCACTATCCAAGCTAGCTAAGTACCTGGATTATCTGTACCTCCGAAGAAGTACAGACCACAACAACAACAAAGGGGTGAGAAAACATGATCAAAATTATCGGTAATAAGATACATGAAATAAAGGTAGCAATTACATAAAATATCACCCAACATGCACCAACCACGACCTACTGTCCAACATCAAACACAACATACAATAATGCAAAATGTAACTCAACACCATGCATGTGGTACCGACTCATTGGTTCATTCAATCGAACCCCGGATAGATCACATACACCCCTCCTTGGCAATGATTTATCCCCACCATTCTCCACAAAGGAGTACAGATGATCGCATACACTCCTCCTGAGCAACGATTCCATCCCACCATTCTCCACAAAGGAGTACGGATGAATCACATACACTCCTACTGAGCAATGATTCATCCCACCAAAACACTATGATATGCACGACACCAAATGCACAATAAATAACTCAAGCACGCTACGTGCACACGATCCTACTGATCACATTACCATACACAACCAATAAATTCAAGCATCCTCCTGATCACATCACCATACATCACACACACACACACACACACACACACACACACACACACACACACACACACACACACACACACACACACACACACACACACACACACACACACACACACACATATATATATATATATATATATATACATATATACATATATATATACATATATATATATATATATATATACATATATATATATATACATATATATATATACATATATATATATATATACATATATATATATAT